AAAAGTCCCAGTGATCATTCTGTTTCTGAAAAAATATATCAAGATTACCCTTTTATAATCCCAAAACACAGTTACCATAACCTATTTTTTAAAGAACATTTTATTGGGCTTACCTCTCTACCTTGAATCTAACTGACCCAACAGATGCCCTGGAAATGTGTTGCTTGAACTTTTTTTTGTGAAGGCACCTTAATGAGATTCAAACCCTAAACCAAATTTACTACCATCGGTTCTGATTCATGACTTAGAAAGGTGTATTACGGAGGGAACTTGTCTGCAACCATCCACTGACCACAGAGCCATGTTTAAACATGTACTGTTTGGCATAAACCTGTGCTCATGTGAACTAGAACCCTAGTAGCAATACTTCTTAATTTTTCTTTATAAAATTAATTTAGATGTGAGTTCAGAAAGCTCAAACATTTTCATATGGTGAAAATATGCTGTTATTTGATGCCGTCACGTAGGCTTGACTTATAACCACACTGTATACAACAGAATGAAACACTGCTCAGGCCTGGGCCATCCTCACAACTGTTGCTTGACCTCATTGTTGCAGTCACTGTGTCAATCCATCTTGCTGAAGGTGTTCCTCTTTTGTAAACTTTACCCGCATGATGTCTTTTTCCAGGGAATGGTCTCTCCTGATAAAATGTTCAAAATACATGAGACAAAGTCTCACCATCCTTACCTCTACAGAGCATTCTGGCTGTATTTCTTCCAAGACAGAATTGTATGTTCTTTTGGCAGTCAACGGTACTGTCAATATTCTTGACCAGCACCATAATTGAAATGCACCAATTCTTTACAATCTTCTTTATTCATGTCCAACATTCACATGCATATGAGGTGATTGAAAATACCATGACTTTCCACACAGTGTCTCCAGCGCTGTCCCCCATAGCACTATGGGTCAGTGAGGGAACATTGTGTCTTGTAGTGGGCTGGGTCTACAGTCCTCTCTGTGCATTGGCTGCTCTGAGCAGGAATGTCATCCCTGGGGCTTGGTGGGCCATGATGAGGTTCTGTCTGTCTGTCTGTCTGTCTCTCTCCTTCCTAGTTCTCCAGTGTCATCTGGACAGACCCACCTCTCTCCCTGGGCTATATCTTCGGTACTGTCTTCTGTATTGCCTTCTTCTGGGGAGGGGGGTCAACATAGCTTGGCTTGAGCCCAGCCCCATACTCTTTTCTGTTAGTTTGCTGCTCCCTGCAAGTTGCCCTCAAGGCTTGGTGCTCTGTGATAGGGTCTGGTCTCTCTCTCCCTTTCCTGTTGAGGCATAAACAATACCCTCCCCGTGGGTGTATTAGTGCCCTGTTCCCCATCACCCTCATTCCCTACCCCTCTCTTTTTCCTTCCTTTTTAGTTGGCTGTTATATGCATCCCTGAGTTGGGTCAGCCCCTGCCAAAGTGCCTGGACCTCTACCTGGGATTTATGCATTAAGTAGCTTAGCCTCTATGCCCATTGTACTTTTTGAGCTTACCTCAGTGAACTCACGTTGTACTTGTCCCTTTGTGCTTGGTTAACTTCACTTAGCATAATTTCCTCTAACTCTTCCCTTGAGGCTATGTGCTTCATGCGTTCATCGTTGCTTTTTAGGGATGTGTAGAACTCCATTGTATGTATATACCAGAGATTTTTAATCCATTCATCGGATGGAAATTTAGATTGTTTCCAGGTCTTCGCGATTGTAAACTGTGCCATGATGAACGGTGGAACACAGATGTCTGGTCTTGGTCTGTTATATGCCCAGTAGAGGGAATCCTGGATCATATGGTAGCTCAATTTTCATTTGTTTTATGTATCGCCAGGATGAGAATTCTTATTTCACCACACCCTCTCCAGCACTTGTTACTTAGTGATTTTTTAAATTGGACTATCTGGAGGATATTAGGTGATATGTCATAGTTGTTTTCATTTGCATTTCTCTTATGGCTGATGATCGGTAACATTTTCTCATGTGTTTATTGGCCATTTGGAAACTTTGGTTCAGGTCTTTTGCCCACTTTATTGTAGGCTAGCGGAGTATTGTATATTTTAGTGATAAGCCCTTTGATGTGCCATTGCTAAAGATGTTTTCCCAGTCAGTGGGCTCTCTTAGTACTCTGTTGGTGAAGTATTTCGATGTGCAGAGGTGTTTTATCTTCAGTTTATCTCACTTGTCTAGTTGTGCCTCCCCTGTGTTTGTGTCCTTCCTTATTTCCAATAGTTTGTGTATTCCCTTCACCAACATTCTTAGATTTGTCCCAATTCCCTCGTTGATGGCCCTAATAATTTGAGGTTTTACTTCAAGGTCTATAATCCACCTCGACTTTTATTCTTGTGCATGGAGTGAGGTGAGGGTCTTGCTTAATTTTTCTGCAGGTAGATATCCAATTTTTCCAGCATCATTTGTTTAAGAAGGCATCCAATTCCCATTTGATATTTTTGCCAAAAGCTATTTATACAGGTACAGCTATAG